GCCATGTATTTTTGAGCTCAGGGTCACACTATATTAAAAGGGGCTTAAAATATCTTTAACAGGAGATGTGCTTGCTTCCTTGATCTGCTATTGAGGTCAAACCCGGAACTCCCTGCCTTCAAGCTGATCTGACCCGCAGCAGGGAGTTCCTCAGTTCTCCATTGTCCCGCTTGGACCAACCTGCATGAACGTGGCCACAGCAGCAGCTGTAACTCAGAAGCCTTCTTGTTGGTTCACTTTCTTCACCCTCCTAACACTGTAACTAATCCGCTAAAAAAAGTATCAATTAATTGTAACCTTTTTCCTCTCCATAGTGTTACTTTGTGTCCTTTCATTGCCTCTATCTTCTCTCTACATTAACCTTTCTTCTCCCAGGCCACAGATGGCTGCCGGCCCACTTGGGATGCGATTTTTGCATCCCACGGAAGCCAAAACTGAGTTCTCTTAAACCGCAAATACAGAAACCCATCGGGTCCCTGTATCCACGAGTCAACAAATGCCTTTGAAAATGGTGTCATTCTTCTCCTGGGAGAATTCTAAGACTAATGGCTATCTCCGTTTCACTCTGCTAATCCCTCCGCCACGGGAATAACCTTTTTTGTCCCTCAAACCTCGACCTGGATCCCAGCTGTTCTTCTGAAGACACTGCCTCGCTGCCACCATTTTGTGGGTGCCCAGGGAGTCTACTGATCTTGGGAAACTGTTGCGGTCATCACATAGGATCTCTGGGCTGCCTTGGTCCCTGGTCAGGAGGGATCTGCAGTTCTCTCCATGGTCACACTGGTAGCCGGCTCATAAGAGCCCCATGGACTCTGGGACACCCTTTCCGACTTGTCTCCCCTGGATTTTACAACTTTTATCAACTTTCTTTAACTTTTAAGAACTTTTGAAGACTTTCTGGAACTTTTTCCCCACACCCCATGGACTCATGACTTGCGGACTATATGATTTCACAATACTGGACTATATATGGACTTTGGTGGATGGATGGGTTATGAATTTCCTTTCTCCATTTCTCTCTTGTGTATACCTTATGAATCCCCTATGTGTGTGTTTGTATATAAAAATATGGAAAGCTACCCTTTCGTGACCCCAGAAAGACACAAGCCTTGGGAAATTCTTCCCTATTTCCTGAGGTGAATTCCTATTGACTTAAGGTTTCCAACAAGGACCCACTGCACGATAATAACAATGGTGCGTCTTTGGGTCTCGGCGCATGTCTGCCCAAGAAGGCTCCCCATGGTGAACAATGTCAACAATGGGACATCCTGCCTTCAGGGAAGATCAGGATGTCCCAATCGTCTCTCTCTCATTGTCATTTCCCCTTGGACTGAAACTCACATCGATAACATCAATTAATCCCATATCCGAGACAGAAGAATATCAGGGCTTGGCAGCCATGCCAGCCATTTTTGCATATTTCAACCTTTCGGGACAATGCCAGGCTGGCTTGAGGAATCTCCGGATTATCGCCGGCCATCAGGACACACATTGAATCATTTTAATCCACTCATCTGTACTCTCAGTTCATTGTTTTTTCCTTTGGACCGCCTCCTCCACTCTCATTGGTCAAGAGCCCAAAGCAGCGCTGGCTCCCTGATTGGCTAAGGTGCCTAAGCCGGCTGCGCCTCTTCTCCAGCTGATGATGACAGCCAATCAGAAGAAAGTCAGCAAGAGGGTGGGAAATTTGAACTTTGACAGCTGTTTCTCTATAAAAATGTACTGCAATGTATTGAATGTATGTCTCTCCTGATGAACTATTAATATTATTATTATTATTAACTTTATATATACCCCGCTAACATCTCCCGAAGGACTCGGAGCGGCTTACAAAGGCCAAGGCCCTCAATAAAACAACAGCATAACAAATACAACAATAAAAACTCAAAAAGCAAAACAATAAACATTAAAGCAATAACAGTAAACATTAAACAATAACATCGTGACACATTTAAAACAAAGGGCCAGGCCAAATGCAATGAATAAAATTAAAAGTGCTAGACATGACAGGTGAAATGTAAGGATTTTAGAGTAGGTGCGATGCGCAGACAATCTTAAATCTCTAATAAAGTGCGTTTGGGACATGATGCTGGGAGTTTCCTATTCTGGAAAGGCACACTGGAACAGCCAGGTCTTCAAGCTCTTCCTAAAGACTGCCAACATTGGGACTTGCCTGATGTCCTTGGGGAGAGAGTTCCAGAGTCAGGGGGCTACCACAGAGAAGGCCCTGTCCCTCGTCCCCACCAAACGCGCTTGCGACGCAGGTGGAGTTCGTGAGTAGGGCCTCTCCAGATGAATGGAGAGATCGTGTGGGTTCATATACAGAGATGCGGTCACGTAGGTAGGTGGGTCCCAAACCGTTTAGGGCTTTGTAGGTGAGCACCTGCACCTTGAACTGGGACCGGTAAATGAACGGCAGCCAATGGAGCTCCTTAAACAGGAGGGTTGACCTCTCTCTGTAAGGAGCACCAGTTAACAACCTGGCCGCTGCCCGTTGGACCAGTTGGAATTTCCGAGCCGTTTTCAAGGGCAGCCCCACGTAGAGCACATTACAGTAATCCAATCTAGAGGTGACCAAGGCATGGACCACCCCACAGTTTGACATCTGTACCAGCTGGAGGAAATAAATACAACTCAGTGGCTTTTCTTCAACTTTGGTGAGATTTATTGGGAAAAATCAGGGAAAATTCTTTTGAATCTCTCTCTCTTTGCTCACCAGAGTACCGGATTCTCGTTGTTGGGTCTGAGGGCTCCCCTCTCCTGGGCGGGAGCCTCCAAGTTCTAGGTCGATATCACTATCACCACTCTAACAGTAGATGCATCCCAGGCTAACCACATCTTCTTCATGAAGATCTCTCTATAATTTCCTATGTCTAGCATGACTCTATGGCCAGCTTCCTTCAGTTATGCGGGAGAAAATAACTGAACTAGCCCTTGGAATTCATGAAGAGTACTGTCGGAATTTGTTAATAGCAATGTACAGGCAGTCCCCAAGTTTTTTTTTTTTTTGTCGTGTCAGGAGTGTCCTGTTGTGAGAGAACTGGCCGTATGCAAGGATGTTGCCCAAGGGACGCCTGGATGATTTTTGATCCCCTGGGCAACGTCCTTGCAGATGGCCAATTCTCTCACAACAGGACACTCCTGACACGACAAAAAAAAAAACCCAAACCAACTTGAGGCCTTGGCCTTTGTAAGCCTCATTGAGTCCTTCGGGAGATGCTAGCGGGGTACAAATAAAGTTTAATAATAATAATAATAATCATCATCATCCTTGTGGGAGGCTTCTCTCATGTCCCTGCATGAGGAGCTGGAGCTGATAGAGGGAGCTCATCCGCCTCTCCCTGGATTCGAACCTGCGACCTGGTCTTCAGTCCTGCCGACACAGGGGTTTAACACACTGCGCCACCGGGGGCTCCGTAGTCCCCTAGTTGTAAACATAGAAGTAACAAATGACACTGAGTTAAGAACAGGGATGAGACAACAAGAAGCGAGAGAAATCTATGCTTCAGAAGGGAAATCCAGTCCTGAAGGACTTATCATAGGGAAAAGGTGTCTCAACTGAAGCTTAATCACGAATCCTTCAAGTGGCGTCAAACTGTGTTAGATCAGGCATGGGAAAACTTGGGCCCTCCAGGTGTTTTGGACTGCCATGTATGATAGCCATGTATAAATATGTGAAAGGAAGCCACAGGCAGGAGGGAGCAAGCTTGTTTTCTGCTTCCCTGGAGACTAGGACACGAAACAATGGCTTCAAACTACAAGAGAGGAGATTCCATCTGAACATGAGGAAGAACTTCCTGACTGTGAGAGCCGTTCAGCAGTGGAACTCTCTGCCCCGGAGTGTGGTAGAGGCTTCTTCTTTGGAAGCTTTTGAACAGAGGCTGGATGGCCATCTGTCAGGGGTGATTTGAATGCAATATTCCTGCTTCTTGGCAGGGGATTGGACTGGATGGCCCCTGAGGTCTCTTCCAACTCTTTGATTCTATGACTTCAACTCCCACCAACCCTTAAGAGGCTGAGAGGGAAAACGAAAGGGCCTGAGACTGTTGGGAATGGTGGGAGTTGAAGTCCAAAACACCTGGAGGGCCCAAGTTCGCCCATGCCTCGCGTGGATGCACCTCAGGCTAACAATGTCTCCTTCAACAAGCTCTGCAAGCCAGCAAATGGAAAGGAGATCTTTTCCTGTCCAGAGGCCTAGCTGTCCCAGTGCAGCCTTCGCAGTTAGCAAGCAGCGCATCCCTCCGAGGGGCTCCCACTCACTCACCCAAGACGCCCTCTCCGCTGCTGGTGACACATGTCTCCGCCAAGGACCGGACCAAGCTGTGGCCAAGAAGGGAGGCGCTGCTCGGGTCCGGGCTCCGAAGGGCGCTGTGGAGCTGGAGGAGGAAACCCGGCACGTTCGACCCGGGCCCCGCCATCCTCCCCTCCCTTCTTTCCCTAGACTGGACTCAGGAAGTTCTCAGCGAGAGAGAAGAGCGGCGAATGGGCGGAACCAACACAGACCTGTAGGGGAGGAGCCAAGGCGACGATACCAACTCTCTCCACGGGGGGGTATACGAGCTCGGCATCCGGGCAACTAAACAAAAAGGACGGGTGAAACCTCTAATCGGTGTTTCTAATTCTGAAACAAATTCTTTTTTGTCCTCAATAGGACCGGCTTCATTTCCCCCCACGGCTAGAACAAGAATGGCTAACCCCCCCTTTTTTTCTAGGGTTAATAAACCCTTCCTCATCAGAGATTCCGCGGCACCTGTCAAATCTGGGAGATACCATTCTTAGAACGGAAAACGGGGGTGTTCCAGCATCCAATCAAAGTGCTTTTTTTGGACTGAAACAGGTTTCCAGAGCCAACCTCTTCAGTTGCCCCGCTTTATTAAGTTGATGACTGCGTCATTTAAGCGATCCGATTCCTCTTCTTAAAAAATATATAGGAAAAGTAACATATCCTCCTCCCTATTTCCCTGGACGATTGGTTCCTCCCTCACTGGGATTGGCCAGAGAAGCCCGCGAAATCTTGAGATCACGTGACCCTTTTGGCGCGTATATTTCTCTTCCCTGTATTCCTGCCGTTCTACTCGGGAGGTGTGTGTTGGCGGGAAAGCCGGCGCTTGTTTACCTGTTCTCCTCGCTTGGCCTTAGCCTTTTGCGTCTGCTATGTCCTCGCCGGCATCTACTCCCAGCCGCCGCCGCGGCAGCAAACGACAGAGATCTGATCCGCCCGAGAATGGCGCGGCCAATCGTAAGTCACTCCTCTTTATTTTGCAGATGAGGTAGAATCATAGAATCCTAGAGTTGGAAGAGACCTCATGTGCCATCCAGTTCAACACCCTGCCAAGAAGCAGGAAAATCGCATTCAAAGCACCCCCGACAGATGGCCATCCAGCCTCTGCTTAAAAGCCTCCAAAGAAGGAGCCTCCACCACACTCCGGGGCAGAGAGTTCCACTGCTGAACAGCTCTCAGGAAGTTCTAGGATATGTAGTTAGCAGATGTAGTTTTAGATGGGATTTGCATGGATGCTTTCAATGATTGTAATTCCCATATGTCCCTCATATGTCTTGCTTTGTCTGCAAAAATGCTGGTGTTTGGAGAAAGAGCAGCCACAGGGAGGTGAATTACTCCCAAGGGTGAATTCATCGGAGTAAAGCTGGCTAGATAGTACTCCCTAATTTCTCAGCCACTTGAAGTCTGTGCTTGAAACAGAAAAGCAGGTAGGACCGACCCAATTAAGTGCTCAGGGTCAGAGACATGAAAGATCATAATTGTGCCATTGTTAGTCACCACCTGTCACCACCTGTTTGTTAGTCACCACCTAGAGAGCCAATGAAAATCTGTATTAGCCAACTGAGACCAGTGGGATAATTAAATTCTGTACACCAATGAGAATGTGTGTTTGACTTTCTGCAAAAGTGATAAAATGCCTTGCAACCCCATTTTGAGGGTGTAGTAGCTCTTTCATGCGATATGCATTCTGTCACCTATTGCTTGGCTCGCAATTTCACAGATCGACACTCAAAGAACCACAGTTACAGGTAAACAACTTATGATTCTATAGTTGGAATTCAACTTGTGGCATACTTTCCTTTACACTCTTGAGCTTGGGGGGACTCCTGACATTGTGCAAAGTGCTGGAGTGCTGGTGAGCCTTTGCCCCTACACTAATGTTCAGGTGAAATCTCCTTTCCTGTATTTTGGACCTATTCCAATGCGCCCTGGTCTCCAGGGCACCAGAAAACAAGCCTACTCCCTCCTCCCCATGACTTCCCCTCTCATGTTTATACATGCCATCATGTCTCTTCTTCCTTCTTCGGCCTTCTCTTCTGTAGGCTAAACATGCCCAGCTTTTTAAGCCGTTCCTCATAGAGCTTGTTCTTCAGACCCTTGATCATTTTAGTCGCCCTACTCTGGACACATTCCAGGTAGTTAATATCTCAGATCAGTCGAGTGTGGACTCTTGAGCCAGAATGTTTCTTCTTGGATACCTCTCTTGTTTACAAACACAGGGTATAATCACATTGTGGCTGTAGCTAGAGTTAGGTTGTTTTTGTCTCACAAAATGAGAAAGCATAACAAAAGATGAGCTAAGGTGCATATTTGTGCAGTCGTGTAACCAATTATTGAAAAACAAAGTTTAAACACCTTTAAATTTGAAATATACCCAACATTCTAAGTCAAATTATCTCTCAACCCTCATCTTCTTGCAGCACTTTCTGATGATGTACAATCCCCTGCGTCACAGCGACGTCGCCCAGATGATTCCGCATCCACAGGAGAGTTGCAGCCAATGCCGACTTCTCCTCCAATTGACACACAAAGTCCAAATGTTCAAGATACTTTGTTTTCCAGTCCTCCACAATTCCAAAATTCAGGTATCTTTGACTTGAGATGTATCAAATATTTGTAACTGTTTGAAATAGTATTTCATTCTGGATTTTGGGGAAGAGCAAGTATGCTGGTTCCTGCAGCTTGTTGATTTCGAAAGTAACCTTTCATAATTCTATGAAATCTATGTCAGGACCGAGTTAAGGGGTCATCTAGCGATTGTTGGACTGCTTTTCTTCCAGCATTTTTCACCTTTTGCTAAGGCTGCTGGGAGTTGCAATTGAACACTTTGAGAATTAAACATTTACTGTGCTAGTTTTTTGTTGATTTCTTCCTTGCCTTTGGAGGTGATAGAGAGGTAATCCTCTGCTAAAACGAAGCATTTTGAACAAATCATACTTTCTTTGCCACAGTTCCAATGGACTTTGATGTTAGTTCACCACTGACTTATGGCACACCCAGTTCTAGAGTGGAAGGAACCCCAAGGAGTGGTGCACGTGGGACTCCAATTCGGCAGAGGGCTGATCTTGGCTCTGTACGCAAAGCCAGGCAGGTGGATCTTCATTCTGATGTGGTAAGTATTCAATAATTTATAGGCAGCCTAAGCTAACTAACCATCCATTCAAGGACTCTGAGCATGGGGATGCGACCTTTTTTAAAAATGTCTTTTTATTGTGACTTTATTTAGAAATACTAATAATTATTTTAATGGTTGAGAAATATCTTTTGTACAGAAAATTTAGAAGTTACAGTGGGCCCTCATCACGGGTGTTATGTTCCAGTGAAGTTCCATGAAGCAGGGACGCACCCTCTCCTTCCCTCCTCACCCTCTTTACCTTCCTCTTCCTCCTCGCCACCGCCTGCCCCTCGTGCCACTGCCGACGCCTCCGCTGCTTCCTCAATTGCAGCGCCCAAACGGCGGCAAGAGGCCAAGGCGGCAATGAGGAAGAGGAAGATAAAGAGAGCGAGGGGGCGGCTCTTCTTCCCTCCTTGCCCTTTTTACCTTCCTTTTCCTCCTTGTTGCTGCCTGGGGCTCTTGCCATTGCTTGGGCCCCACAACGCCTCTGCTGCCCCCTCAATCGAGGGGCCCAAGTGTCGGCAAGAGATCCAGACGGCAACGAGGAAGAGAAGATAAAGAGGGTGAGGCGAGGGCTCCTCACCCCGAGGGAAGAAGAAGCTTCAGCAAGAGGCCCAGGCGGCGATGAGGTGCCCCCCCTTTCACTCAGTGCCTGCTCACTACTTAAATTCTTTTTTTTTAAAAAAGTGAAACAGCGAGTCCACAATAAGTGAACTGCGAAGTAGCGAGGGACCCCTGTGTGTGTGTGTGTGTGTGTGTGTGTGTGTGTGTGTACAGTATGTGGACACAAACATGCATATTATGCTAAGCAATTGAAGATTAAGGAAAAAATGAAAATAAATGGGAAGAGGGAAAATGCTATTAAACTAATAGGCTTTGACTTAGTGAAGATAGTAAAGGCATTATCATTTCTGATGAGAGCTCCTTGTTTCAAGAAAATTAAGGTTTGGAAGGTGATCAAGCAGGACTTAAAGAGATGGAAAAAGGTTGTCATTATTAGGAAGATTTCAGCCACCTAGATTAACATTTTGCAAAAAAAAAAAGACCTTTGATTTCTAATCTAGCCCAGTAATGACAAAGTAGCAAGCCAATTGATGATTCACAAAGAGATTTAATGAACTTAATTTGGAAACAAAAAGAACAAACAAGAGTAAAGTTGAAAGACAAAAAGGAAAGAAGGCCAAAGTTTACAAAAAATTTAGAATGTGTTATGAAGCCTGCTGCTGTCTTAATTTGAAAGCACAGATAACCTGGAAAATTGAATGTTCATTTTAGAAGGGCAGAACCTGAAATACAGATGACATGGGTATCGGCTAATGCGGAATTCAAAAGCACTATACTATATGTGCTGTGTCTGCTACTGGCTGCAACTCAGCTGCCAAAAACTGACACTTTGTACTAGTTATAAAGTTAACCGTTAATATACATCTGTTCAGGGCATCAGAAATCACTGAGCTAAAAGTATAAATTAACTGTTTTGTGCTGTTCTTTAATTCAGAAGTCGCAAGCAGGTTAATATGAAAAGGATAAGCTTAATAAATATAACAACCAGGTTATGCCCCAAAATACAGCTATGGATCTCAGTGTAGGAGGCCTTCTGTAAGATTGTCAAATGAAATTTATGTATGATATAGATATGATTGAAATTGAACGCTGTCAAAGTCGATTTAAAGCTAATAGGGAATGTGTGAAGGCTTTCATTTACAGCAACATTGCCACTGAAAACTGCTTGAAAGTTATAAAAAGGGACAAAGAGCAATTTGAATTTTTTTTAAAAAAATGAATGTTGATTCGTAGTCTATAAATTACTATTGCAAATAGATTCAGAACAGGAATGGGTGAAATAATGCTTTTTTTCTGGTGCCTCACACCAGAAACAATTGGCAAAAATCTACAAAGGGGTGAAAAATAAATGTTGGAAGGGTGGAATACAATAATGATAATACTACCAGATGTGGTGGTCGTATAAAAAAGTGAAAAATGTTGGAAATCAATGCACAAAACACAGGCAAGCATTAAGAAAAATGAGTTGCTCTTATTAGGTTTGATATGACATAGGCGCATCAAAAGTCAACTGGAAGAGATAGTTTAACCTACTCTAATGGAGGCCATGTTCGTATATGCTCCGAGATGGAAGTGTAAGAGAATACCTTCAATAGGGGAGTGGATATTGAAATTGTTTGGATTGGTCGAGATGCATACATTTATTATATTAATGAGAAAAAAATTATTACTTGCCAACTTTGTGAAAGATTGAGAGCCTCCCCAACTTATGCAAGACTGAAATCAAGAGGTCATAGTCACAGCTCTGGAGAAGTGATTGTTTATTTTTTTTAAACCACACATTGAAGTAGGATGTATATAAGGAAAACAAGTTAAAAAACCAATAGATGCTAATGAGGGGAAAACTATATATTAGCTAATATATTTAGCTTAATATTAATGTATGGGATGTTACTTTAACTATACCTTAACATTTAAAAGTGATGTGTTCTTCCATTTAGCCTACAGGAGAGGATGCAATGGCAAGTGAGCAGTCTATTGGACAGAAGCTTGTGATTTGGGGCACAGATGTCAATGTCGCTTCATGCAAAGAAAAGTTCCAGGTGAGTGGATAGTGATTACTATACTTACTTTAGTCATAATCGTATATGGGCCATACAGATTCAGTTTTGTTTTAAAGGATCATAGTTTGTTAGTAGCGCCCTGCGTCCCTTTGGGGAGAAAGGGCAGGTTAAAAATGAAGTTTTATTATTAATATTAGTATGTATTTGAATCATTGCAAGATAATCAGTTTCTTCCAAGAACCCCTGGAATTGTGAGGCCACCACACGTTCCAGAACTTTGCCCAAAAAAGGGAGATTGGAAACTGGCCGAAAGTTGTTCAATTGATTGGGGTCCAGTGATGGTTTCTTCAACAGCGGTTTTATTACAGCTTCTTTTAAGCTGGCTGGAATCTTGCCTTCCTCTAAGGAGGCATTAATCACCACCTTCACCCACTCTGCCAAATCGCATCTGGCCTCCTTTACCAGCCAGGATGGGCAGGGGTCTAGGATGTATGTGACTGCTCTCGCTTCTCCAAGGATCTTGTCTACATCCTCGAGCTGCACCAATTGAAATGAATCCATAAAAACTGGACAAGCAGGTGCTTGTGTTACATCATCAGAGACTGCGGTTAACATGGAGTCCAGGTCAAACTGTATCAGCGCAACTTTGTTCACAAAGAATGAAGCAAATGCTTCAGAGCGAGCTGCCGAGTGGTTAGGGATCCTGTCTTGTGGGGCGGGATTTAACAACCCTCTGACCACTCGAAACAGCTCCGTTGGATAGTTCCTTACAGATGTAATATTAGCCACAAAGAGGTTTTTTTGGGGGGGCGTCCATTGCCACAGTGTATACCTTTAGATATTTCTGATGCCCTTAACAGATGTGTGCTCCAATCGGAATGGCAGGATCCAAAGTTCTTTTTCACTTGAGCCATTATGACCTCATCCTCTTCTCCAACAGTCTGAGACCTCACAACCTCTGAGAATGCTTGCCATAGATGCAGGCGAAACGTCAGGAGAGAATGCCTCTAGAACATGGCCATACAGCCCGAAAAAACCTACAACAACCCAGCATAATTTATTATTTATTTACTACATTTGTATACCCTTTTCTCCTCCCTCCCCTGGGGTGGGGGTGGGGTGGGACTCAAAGCACTTTCCAACATACAGTATATATGGCAAAATTCAATGCCTCATGTACATAAAACCTAACATACAATAAATATACAGCTATCAATTAAATCATAAAAACACAACAACATATAAACATTAAAACGTCAAGTTAAAAACATGTTAATATGTTATTTTAATAGTTAATGGTGCAATACACTTTATATCTTTGATACTTATGAGAGTTGCTTTTTATAAGATTTTGCTAAAGAGAAGAGGGATTCAGAACATTATTGTAAATTGAATGTAATCTTGAAAGGAAGGGAATTAGATTAACCAAAGGAATAGAAAATGGGAACTCCCTAGAAGCTTCTCTCAATCCCAGGATAAATTTCTCTACTGTTTGTAGTTAATTATATTCAGTCATAATACTGTAAGGAGATTATATGAAGCCACTGGAAATAATGTTGTAACTACTTAATTCCCTTAGATGGGTTTCTACACTGAAAACTTGTTTTTTATTATGAAATTCTTAGAGGTTTCTTCAGCGTTTTATTGATCCAACAGCGTCAGAAGAAGAAAATATTGGACTGGACCTTAATGAGCCCCTGTATATGCAGAGGCTAGAGGAGGTATGTCATATCACTATTGCTTAGACTAGCTTGCAATTTAAGATTTAAATGATAGCTTTCAGCATTTTGCAGTGTTAATCTAATGCATTTTTTCCAGATAAATTTAATTGGAGAACCATTTCTGAATGTGAACTGTGACCATCTGAAGTCATTTGATGAAAATCTTTACAGACAGCTGATGTGCTATCCACAGGTAAGACATTTTTTCAGCAAGTTCATCAATACAGTGTTAGCTTGATCTTAAAGTCAGTGATCCTAACTTTGATCTGTTGCTTAAAATATGCGCTAATGGTCAGATAGTAATTTAGAGAAAAGTAAGTGGTGCTACATTTTATTTCGGAATAAAAATAAATAAAATGTTAGTATTTTTAGAGAGAGTAAGAAGAAAAAATGACAGGAATTACAGTTAATCCAATAATTAACAAAACTGGCTTCTGACAAGTTTCCGGGTTCAATTCAAGGTGCAGGTGATTACTTATAAAGCCCTATGCGCTTTGGGTCCAACCTATCTTCGTGACTGCATCTCTTTCCACAAACTGGTGTGGGCTCAGATCGACAGGGTAGGCCCTCCTCTCGGTCCCACCACCGTCTCAAGCGTGGTTGGTGGCAATGAGAGGGCCTTCTCTGTAGTGATCCCCCAGCTCTGGAATCCCCTCTCAAAAGAGATTAGACTAGCCCCCACCCTTCAATCCTTCCATTCCAACCTGAAAACATGGGTGATCAGACAGGCCTTTGACCTTGAATAGGCTGAATGGGCCCATATGAAGCTGACACTTAGTACTTTGTGAATTGATGGCAGTTTGTTTTATCTACTGTTTTAAAATAGTATTATTTTGTTTTTATGCTACATTGTTGAGGGGTATTGTTATATTTTTATGTGCCTTGTTTTATACTTTTTTACCTGCTGTATGTTATATGTGCACCCTGGAGTACCTTGTGAGCTGCCCTTCGGGGAGAGGGTGGCAGGATATAAATCAAGTTTATTATTATTTGTTATTCATTTGTACAAAAAAAATATGCAGTACATGCTTCTATTTGGAAAACATGTCTGAAGTACCCTGAACAAGTATTTATTTATGACATTTGTATCCCACCCTGCTCGCCCAGAAGGGGACTCATGCCCAAACAACAATTAAAAGCTATTAAAAAAACCATTTAAAACAACATTAAACAACATATGTAAACTTTAGGTGACAATTGTGCATATTCAGTCATATTCAATCAGGGGTCAATGCTACCTGAGTTGCACAGATAATTATGCCAGGCTGAATGCTTGCTCCCAAATTCCCAAAGTAGAATTACCTTGTTTTATATATATATATATATATAGCCATGTACATGAAAACAAAATTAAAATAGTGGCACCAACTCAATACTGGATAAATATCCCTTGTGCAAAATGCTTGTGACTAGAACTGTTCAATATTTTGGATTCGGGAGGGGGGAATTTTGTAATATTTCAGTATACATAATGAGGTATTTTGGGGATTGGACTACTTGAAAACAAAAGCCATTGATGTTGCATTTATTCCATATATATGAAATATTATGAATATAATTACTTTCAGCTTGAAAGTATTTATTTACATAATATTTTTAATACTGGATTTAGGAATTCTGGATAAAGATGTTTAACCTGTACAATACAAGAGAGAATTTTGCAAGCCCCCCCCCCCCCAAAAAAGCGTAACCATTAGCATAGCAGGTATTTATTCCATCTAATAATTATAAATGTATAAAACTTTTTCTCTGCTTCACACAAATGTAGTAGCAAGCACAATAATTATGGTTTATATCTCATTTGTCTAGGAAGTTATTCCCACATTTGATATGGCTGTTAATGAAATCTTCTTTGACCGTTACCCTGACTCAGTACTGGAACATCAAATTCAAGTTAGGCCATTCAATGCATTAAGGACCAGAAACATGAGGAGCTTAAACCCAGAAGGTAAGATATTTGGGATATAGCTGTGTAGATGTGAGGAGAAACATTGCTATACATTTTGCCCTTTAAAAATTTAGAGCAAGGGACATGATTTACATCTTCCTGCATTGTTTACTACGTTTCAAGAAATGGATTGATATCAAGGAAAGGTCATGGAAGTATATAACTCAATTCTGTTACATTATTTACTATTTGATGACTTCAGTAGACAAAGATGCAAGGAGACTTCTTTTAAAAAAAGATAACAAGTTTGTTTACTGATAACTTCATATATTTAAAGCTAAAGGCACATTTCTTGTAGAGGTTAAGAAAACTTCAGTAACATTTCAGATAGTTTGTATCTATAACTTATAATCTTTAACAGTTTCTTCATAAACTATATTGCTTTATACAGCTCTCTTTAATAAGAGTTTACTTTCAAAGAAAACACAAGCCTCAAGACAAGTTTAGTAGCTCCTAACACTGCCTTCTGGACTCTGACAGACTTCTACACTCACTCAAGGCTCAACACTGACTTCTAACAGGCTTAAGGTTCAACTGATATCTCTTACTGTCATCCTTTTAAAACTGAACATTCTAAACACATGACCTGCAGCTCCTCCCACTGCTTTAGGTATATAGAAATGAGGTAACTGGAAACCACATGTAATACATATACTTCAGGATATAAAACGACATACTAATAAAACAGACAAACATCAAATAGAGGAGGCTTGAGAAGGTTGCTTCCTCCAACACTGAATATAGTTACTTTTTTGGAAAACAGTTACATATCAAATACACCAATTCAGATATATACATATGTATAAATCTGTAACAAACTCATCTTGAGTCCTACTTTTTCAAACTTTGCTACTGGGAGAAGTTTGTGAACATTAGTAAGCCTATATATGATTTTCTTAAGGGGGAAATTGCATATTTATTAACAAATCATTTCAACAGAAAACCAAGTTTTATATAAAGATACAAATGCATAGCAATATAACAGATCCTCAGGATGGCACAGAGAAGTAATCTGCCACAGCTGGGTTTTGTTCTCATGTGCCAACCTTACAAGGTAGGGCTATATTCTTGTTCCATTTCAACCAGCACTCTCCCCTTCTTGGTCAGTTTTTTAATTGCTGACCTTGGGACCTGGCATAGTTTTCCTTGTCTCTGCAGTTGACTTGATGTACTTACATTCATTGTGACTGATATAACAAGGATTGGATAAATTTATTGTAAGGTTTAAAGATGGAAAAAAGGAGGCAGTATAGACTAAGAATACGATGGAACACCTTTGGTGGCTACCAAACTAATCAAGGAGTGAGAGAAAATTAAGAATACTATGCCCAAGAAGACCATAGCTCAGAGTGTCACTGAGGCTGATAAAAAGGATGAATTAAGAGATAAAAATTGTATCCTCTAGCAAAGGTGAAGTAGGGTACATGGGGAAAATCGAATCAAATACACATAGTGAAATAATCGATGGCAGTATGAGTGCAGAGACTAAACTAGTGAAGCAAAATGCCAAAAACAATGTTAAACCAAACCTGCATATGTGCAATAAGAAGGGAAAGGTAGTTCAGGGGAGGCAAGATCACATGAAAATGGTAGGAACTGTCACTTGAGTTCCTGTGTATTAGATAATACTAAAATGATTTGATTTCATAAATCTGTGTTCTTTGTTTGACATCATAGATATTGACCAGCTTATCACTATAAATGGTATGGTGATCAGAAGCTCACAGTTAATTCCAGAAATGCAAGAAGCTTTTTTCAAATGCCAAGTCTGTGGTTTTACAGCAAGAGTAGAAATTGATCGTGGCAGAATTGCTGAACCATCTGCATGCAAGAATTGTAACACCACACATAGTATGGCTTTGATTCATAATCGTTCCCTATTCTCAGATAAACAGATGGTATGTTAATCACTTTTTCACATTATATTTTTACATGTTGAATGTTCAACAGGAAACCAATATATATGTGGTCTGTAGAAGTATCAAAATATATTTCTGCATTATCAATGGATTCATAGCCAACGCTGCAAAGTAGAAAACGTACAAAACCTTTCCAATCTTGGCCACATGCTAATTTAGGGATATTCCTATATCCGAAAAGTTACTTTTGAACTCTAAATTATATTCAAAAATACCATTTTTATGATGCTATCCTTTATTAACCTATGAATTGTTTATCTATGACTTGTTAAACTATGTGTTTTTTATTATTCCTAGGAGAATATGATTTATTGTATTTGTTTGAGCACTATGTGTGTGCTGCAGTATTATTTTCCTACATTTAGAACAAATTCTACATGTAGACATGGAGGATGTTCTGCTTGTTTTTTCCATAATTCAAATGTCTCACATGCATTTTTTATTATGATGGCAAGGCAGTGATTGTGTTTTTCTTTCCTGGTTTAAAAAAAGGTTTATCATAGGCCTAAATGAAATTTCCCACCATTCATCTTAGCTATTTTTACCCAAAAAAATGCATTTCAGTTTTAAAAAGACAATGGACATATCGTATATACTCGAGTATTAGCCAAGGCAGTTAATTTTACCACAAAAATCTGGGAAAATGTATTGACTAGTGTATAAGCCAAGGATGGGAAATGCAGCAGTTCCTGGTAAATTTCAAAATAAAAAAGATACCAAAATTTTTACATTAATTGAGGTATCGGTAGGTTAAATGTTTTTGAATATTTACATGAAATTGTAATTTAAGATAAGACTGTCCAACTCTGATTAAACCATTATTCTAACCTCCTTCAATGTAAATGTGCTTATGTATCCTTCCAATAATAAGAGTATTTATTATTATATTTATTATTTTACTCTATTATTATATTATTTTAGAGTAAAATAATAAATTCAATAATAAATAGAGTAAAATAATAAATGTAGTAAAATAATAATAGAGTAAAATAATAAATGTAATAAAATATTAATAACAGAATAAAATAATAACTTTGACGAGTAGAAGCTGAGGGGGGCTTTTTCAGCCTTAAAAGGGGATGAAAACTTGGCTTAAGCTCGAGTGTATACAGTACCTAGTACAATATCTGACAGGAATTTAGGCAAATGGTCTGTATGTACTGTTCAGTTGATTACTGTGGGACAATTACTTCTTGCTCAAATGAAAAGGATATCCGTGGGACCCTGCACTAGAATGTCTTCTATTCTGAAGAACTATTTATTGTGAGAATCAACATTATTAATATATTTCTGTCTTCCAAACAGTATCTTAATTTGAAAAGGTTTCATCCAATACGTCTCAGAATTAGTTGATCTGATAAAAAAGAGGCATTGTTGTATTTGAACTAAGTGTTTGTCTTCTTTTAGATCAAACTGCAGGAGTCTCCAGATGATATGCCAGCTGGCCAGACACCGTACACAATTGTCCTTTTTGCTCACAATGATCTCGTGGATAAGGTGCAGCCTGGTGACAGAATAAATGTTACAGGTACGATTTGAGAAACAATTCTTACCCTTAATTATGTAAGAAAAATAACCGTATATCTAATACTGTTTCTTTTTCTATAGTTTAGAGAGATGTGCAAGTTGGGTGAAATTAAAGAATTCCTGGTTTATGCTTGCTTTTCTTTTTCTTCTCTACAACCATATGCATATACAAAGTGGGTAGTCTTTTCTATTTAAGATGGAAAAGTATGTGTAGACATTTATAAATATGCAACTATTTATTTAATAGTTCTGATAAATTGATAATATTCCTCCTTTTTTTCCCAGGTAGGGTGTCATGGCAGGTTGCAGTAGTTTAAAAGTATAGTTTAAAATGCACAAAAATTACTTTCAAGTAAAACACAAGCCTCAACACTTTCAAACGTCTATAATATAATTTTGTTTAAACAGGTATATACAGAGCAGTCCCTGTTCGTGTTATTCCAAGAATGAGCAGTGTAAGAGCCGTCTATAAGACCCACATTGATGTTATTCATTACTGCAAAACTGACTCAAAACGTTTGCATGGCATCGAAGAAGGAGCAGAACAGAAAATGTTTACAGAACAGCGTGAAAAAATGCTTCAAGAGCTTTCTAGAAAGCCTGATATTTATGATAGGCTTTCTTCAGCACTTGCTCCAAGTATTTATGAGCATGAAGATATTAAAAAAGTAAGTAGAATTTAAAATTATACATGAAACTCCAGAACTGTATAGCCAATTGATGAAACTCATTAAGGCCTTTGTACACCTATGTTCACATATTTTGATAAAACCCATGGAAACATAATAATGAAATACTGGATAGCGGTACATTCATTAGCAGAAAAGCAAACCGATGCAAAATTAAAAGTCAGTCGTGTCGATGTCTGCAACACAGCAAGTATCTGTGGTTAAAAGAAAATGAATTTAAACATATTTATGGGCGAAAGAAAAGCGGAGGATGTGTCGTTATGGGCGGAATCAAAAGGCAGTGACAAAAAGGAAGAAAGTAAGTTGGGTAACATTAAGAAGACATAATAACATTAAAATGAATTAGTAATGGGAAAAAAGCACTCAAAGTTCTGCAAATTCACAGAAAAGACTGCTAAAGCATTCTGACTAAGCAAGAGCCCTTCCACACAGCCCTATATCCCAGAATATCAAGGCGGAAAATAGCACATTATCTGCTTTGAACTGGATTATCTGAGTCCACACTGCCATATAACTCACTTCAATGTGGATTTTATACAACCGTGTGGAAGGGGCCTCAGATAACCCAATTCAAAGCAGATATTGTGGAATTTTCTGCCTTGATGTGCTGGGTTTTATAGCTGTGTGGAAGGGCCCTAAGGAACTCAGTGTGAAGCAATCAAAGAGGTGGACAGAAAATCAAGAGACTGGAGGCCCAAAAGCTCATATAGAGCTGCAGGTATTTGCTGGTTGAAGAAGTGTAGGCTAGGGAAAATAACTGATGAAGAAAGGCAGGGATCCATTTTGAATTAACAGAATAGAATGTGGACTCCTGTCAGCTGAAGCAGCAGTTGGGTGGAACCCAGCAGTAGTGGATTGCTCCTCCTCACAATAAGTCTAATATCTCAGTCTCTTAATTAGACATAAGTCATGCTTGTATATATTGATAATTGGGTTCACTATTTCCAAGATTAAGTTGTGTGTCAAAACTTGTTCTTGCAGGGCATTCTTCTTCAGCTGTTTGGAGGCTCAAGGAAAGATTTCAGCCACACTGGTCGAGGTAACTTCCGTGCTGAGGTCAACATTTTACTTTGTGGAGATCCTGGCACCAGTAAATCACAGTTGCTTCAGTATGTCTATAACCTGGTTCCAAGAGGCCAATATACATCTGGGAAAGGTTCCAGTGCTGTTGGTCTCACAGCCTACGTGATGAAGGATCCTGAAACAAGGCAGTTAGTATTACAGACTGGAGCCTTGGTCCTCAGTGACAATGGGATTTGCTGTATCGATGAGTTTGATAAAATGAATGAAAGCACAAGATCAGTTCTTCATGAAGTCATGGAGCAACAAACACTGTCTATTGCTAAGGTGAGAACCTTCAAAATATTTGTAAGACATTAGTTAGTCTACTGCAGTCTAAAAGATGTTCCTTGATGTTTGTATCACTTGGTAAGACCGGCCCACTCACAAATGGGTAAATTCCCCTCGTGCAAAACCGACTAGGCAGTAGTTTGTATTCTTCATTGGTTTACACCAGGGGTCCCCAAACTTTTTGAACAGAGGGCCGGGTCGCAGTCCCGCAAACTGTTGGGGGGCCGGATTATAATTTGAAAAAAAACATGAATGAATTCCTATGCACTCTGCACATATACTATTTGCAGTGCAACCCCCCCCCCCCAAAACAAAAAACAAAGACCCACACTTCTATATAAATAAAAATGTAATGTTCGTTTGTGGGATTAACAGAACTCAAAAACCACTGGACGAATTGACACCAATTTTAGACACAAGACACCTAACAACCCAATGTATGTCCTTCACACAAAAAATGATTTTGTCATTTGTGAGTTATAGTTGCTGGAATTTATAGTTCACCTACAATCAAAGAGTATTCTGAACCCCACCAACGATGGAATTGAACCAAACTTGGCACACATTTCTCCCATGACCAACTGAAAATAGTGGAAGGGTTTGGTGGGCAGTGTTCTTTGGTTTTGGAGTTGTGGTTCACCAACATTCAGAGATCATTGTGGACACAAACAATGATGGATCGGGATCAAACTTGGCACAAATACCCAATATGCCCAAATGTGAACACTGGTGGAGTTTGGGGGAAAATAGAATCTTAACAATGTATTGTCGAAGGCTTTCATGGCTGGAATCACTAGGTTCTTGTGGGTTTTTTCGGGCTATAGAGCCATGTTCTAGAGGCATTTCTCCTGACGTTTCGCCTGCATCTCTGGCAAGCATCCTCAGAGGTTGAGAAGGTCTGTTGGAAGTAGGAAAATGGGTTTATATATCTGTGGAATGGCTGGGGTGGGGCAAGGAGCTCTTCCCTGCTGCAGTTAGGTGTGAATGTTTAGCTGATCACCTTCATTAGCATTTGAAGGCCTGCCTGAGTCTGGGAAAATCTGTTGCTGGGAGGTGTTAATCTGTGCCTGGTTTTTTCCTCTCTGTTTAGCTGTTATAATTTTAGAGTTTTTTTAATACTGGTAGCCAGATTTTGTTCATTTTCATGGTCTCTTCCTTTCTGTTGAAATTGTCCACATGCTTGTGGATTTCAGTGGCTTCTCTGTGTAGTCTGACATGGTGGTTGTTGGTGTGGTCCAGCATTTCTGTGTTCTCAAATAATATGCTGTGTCCAGGCTGGTTCATCAGATGCTCTGCTATGGCTGACTTCTCTGGTTGAAGTAGTCTGCAGTGCCTTTCTATCTCATATGGGCACTGCGTTTGGTGGTCCCTGTAGTTCCCCTTGCACTGATTGACGGGCCGCTGCGAGTGCCACCACCTCCCCACTTCCAAACCCCCCAGAAAATCCCCCCCAATGCCGTCCCGCCCTTCCCCACGTGCCTCTCCCTCTCCGGAGTCTACGGATACATGCAGCTGTGGACGTCTATATAGGGACCACCAAACGCAGCGCCCAGACACAAAAATGGCACTGCAGACTAACTCAACCAGAGAAGTCAGCCATAGCAGAGCACCTGATGAACCAACCTGGACACAGCGTATTATTTGAGAACACAAAAATGCTGGACCACACTAACAACCACCATGTCAGACTACACAGAGAAGCCATTGAAATCCACAAGCATGTGGACAATTTCAACAGAAAGGAAGAGACCATGAAAATGAACAAAATCTGGCTACCAGTATTAAAAAACTCTAAAATTAAAACAGCTAAACAACAGAGAGGAAAAAACCAGGCACAGATTAACACCTCCCAGCAACAGATTTTCCCAGACTCAGGCAGGCCTTCAAATGCTAATGAAGGTGATCAGCTAAACATTCACACCTAACTGCAGCAGGGAAGAGCTCCTTGCCCCACCCCAGCCATTCCACAGATATATAACCCATTTTCCTAATTCCAACAGACCTCACTACCTCTGAGGATGCTTGCCATAGATGCAGGCGAAACGTCAGGAAAAATGCCTCTAGAACATGGCCATATAGCCCGAAAAAACCCACAAGAACCTAGAATCCAGTCTCATCATCCATTATTCCGTATTCCTATGTTCATTTACACTGTTTAATCAAATGCTTGTTTGAACACCGATGATGGAATTGAACCAAACTTGGCATAACCAACAGAAAATTCTGGAACAGTTTGGTGGGCATTGACCTTGAGTTTTGGAGTTGTAGTTCACCTACATGCAGAAAGCTCTGTGGATTCAAACAATGATGGATCTGGACCAAACGTGGCCTGAATACTCAATATGCCCAAATGTGAAGACTCTCAAAAAAATGATTTGTCATTTGGGAGTTGTAGTTGCTGGGATTTATAGTTCACCTACAATCAAAGAGCATTCTGAACCCCACCAACGATGGAATTGAACCAAACTTGGCACACAGTTCTCCCATGACCAACAGAACATACTGGAAGGGTTTGGTGGGCAGTGTCCTTTGGTTTTGGAGTTGTAGTTCACCCCTCCTTGGAGACCAGAGCGGCTGGAGCAGAGTGTTCCTGCAAAGGCCGGAGGCGGCGGGTGGGCGTGGCCAGCGGCGCTGGGTGGGCATGGCCACGCCCACCCGGCGCCACTCCGGCCTTTTCAGGAACCCTCTGCTCTGCTTTGCAGGAACCCTCTGCTCTGGTCTCCAAGGAGGCAGGTATACTACAAAAGGTTTCTCCCTCCCTCACGAGCAGAGCGGCCAGAGCAGAGAGTTCCCGCGATGGGCGGAGCGGCGCCGGGTGGGCGTGGCCAGGCCAGGCCTCGCGGGCTGGAGAAATGCCCTCGGCAGGCCGCATACGGCCTGCGGGCCGTAGTTTGGGGACCCCTGGTTTACACCATTAAGGTTGTTTCCTTTTCTGCCCTGCCAACCACATATAGCTAATCCTGTTCCCTGTCAGTCATTTTCATTTTAAACCAGCTTGGGTATCCGGCGTTGCATGGGTTATTAGAAGAAGTCATTTTTTAATTTTACAAAATGCATAAGGTTGTGGGTGTACTACAACTCACATCATGCCAGATTAACCCCTCTATCAATACCTTAAAGTTAGTCATGTTTGGCAAATTTACACTAGATGCGTTATCAGTGGAGTTCAGAGTGCTCTTCGATTGCAGGTGAACTATACATCCCAGTACTTGCAACTAACAAATGTCAAGGCCAATTCCACCCCAAATCCAGTGCTCTCTGGATGTAGGTGAACTATAATTCCTATAAATCAGTGAATTGTCCTTCCCCCAAAGGCCTCCTGCATTATTTTGTTGGTCATGGGGGTTCTGTATGCTTAGGTTCAGAGACATTGTTGGTGGGATCCAGGGTGCTGTTTGATTGTAGGTGATCTATAAATCCCAGTACCTACAACAGCTATAAATCAAGGTGAATTTCTTCCAAACCTCTTCAGTATTTTTCTTTGGTCATGGGATTCTGTGCGCCAAATGTGGTCCGGTCCATTGTCAGTGGAGGACGGACGGACACAGTGCTGTTACTTGATGCAGGGTGAACTACAACTTCCATCATGTGGAGTGAATCCCCCAAACTCCTCCAGTTTTGTTTAGTTACTGATCAGTTCTGCTGTTTGTTGTGCAGACAGAGTTGAAAGGAGTAGGAAAGGGTTAAGGGAGAGGCAGTGGGCGGGATCATGCAAATTCCACACAATGGAGAGAGTCGGAAACACGAAAAATCTAGGATGAAATTGTCCCCGGATGAAAGCATTCCTTGGGTGGTGGGCAATATGGTGTTTGGGAAGGACATTGGCAGGGGTTGGGCTACATGTTTATGGTGCTTTCTATAACCTGAAATGTCATTGGAGGGAGGGCTTTTGGTGGCTCCTCAGCACAGTTAGTTAAAGCTGTTTGTTGAAGTGGGAGCCTGTCTGTGGAAGTGGGCACCCGAACCACATACACACATACACAGTAAAGCTAATGGTTTCTCCTGACATTAAGTCTAATTGTGCCCTACTTTGGAGGGTGGTGTTAATCTCCATCTTCTCAGGGGAAAGATGCTGAAGGGCTCACTCAGAAACGGATAATGTATACTGCTATTTATTGCTGCTGCCTACATATACACTGGCACGTAGTTTTCACTTGAATTTAATATCAAATCTTTTCTTGTATTTTTCAAATATTTTCTGATAGGCTGGAATAATTTGCCAATTGAATGCTCGCACCTCAATTCTTGCAGCTGCCAATCCAATAGAATCCCAGTGGAACCCAAAGAAAACAACAATTGAAAACATTCAGCTTCCCCACACCTTGTTATCTAGGTATACTTTACAAAATACTTAATTGCATTCTTTTCTATTTGCATTAAGCCTTTTCCCTCTTTCTAAGTGTAATTAGTATATAATGTTGTAAAACCTTTTCACAGTCATCTAAAAAGTATTTAGAAAAGAATATTGGTAGTACTTATTGTCTATTTATATTTAAGGAAAGGTTTGTGAGCTCCCAGAGTTACTTCTGAAGTTTAAAAATAAAAATGTATTCCCTTTATTCCAAGCATCATTAAACTTCAGCCTACAAATTCACTAAATCCACAAGTTAATTGTTCCAGTGAAAGAGAATTAATTCTAAGTTTTTGAACGTAGATTTGACCTAATTTTCCTTATGCTGGATCCTCGAGATGAAGCATATGACAGACGTCTGGCTCACCACTTAGTTGCATTATATTATCAAACCGAAGAACAGTTGGAAGAGGAGTACATGGATATGACAGTTTTAAGAGATTATATTGCTTATGCTCGTACCTATGTCAATCCACGACTGAGTGAAGAAGCAAGTCAAGCTCTTATTGAGGTAAGGGAAAGTGAAATAATTTTTAACTTTATGTATCATTTTAAAATGATATTAAAAGACCTCCAACTTTGTAGAGAAGAAAGGTACAGGGGTATTTAATAAGCCAATAAAATTATTATTTCTGATAGTCCAATTTATTAATAGTTCCACTTACATACCCATTTAAAGTATGCAGTTATCATTGAGACATCTAATTTGGGAATCCTTCTACATATTGATATATAAACATGTATACAAGCATGCAAATGTAATGCATGTGATTTCATTTTTCTCTATCTAGGCATATGTTGATATGCGAAAGATTGGAAGTGGTAGAGGAATGGTTTCTGCCTATCCTCGGCAGCTGGAATCACTGATTCGTCTAGCAGAAGCTCATGCTAAAGTCCGTTTCTCTGCCAAGGTGGAAACAATAGATGTAGAGGAAGCAAAACGTCTTCATCGGGAGGCTCTAAAACAGTCTGCAACTGATCCAAGAACTGGGATTGTGGATATATCTATCCTGACTACAGGTCAATATGCAAAAGCTAACTTAATCTTGGTATTTCTCATATATGTGTTGCTCAAGTTATGGTCCATTTCAATCAGTGGAGAACAGGGTGATACAATGATCTATTGAAAGAGCTAGTTTGTAGCACTGGAATTTCTATAAATGCTGTTCAATTAACTGATAATACTTGGGAAGAAGTATCATAGCCCTTCTATTTGTTTTTTAAGGAATGAGTGCCACTGCTCGAAAACGTAAGGAAGAGCTGGCTCAAGCTTTGAAGAAGCTTATTCAGTCTAAGGGCAAAACACCAGCTCTAAGATATCAACAGCTCTTTGACGATCTTCGTGCACAATCTGAAACTGTGAGTTTGACTATTCTACATCTAAAGCCTTTCATGCTGTATTTCTGCTATTCACTTGCATCTGGTATATTGGAAAAAAAATCTTCAGCAGTAAGGATCCATCTTTTTATTGAAACTATAGCATTAATTGGGACAAGGCAAAGTAATAGTCTTGATTTGGAGGAGAAAGTCAATGATGTATGCTGAGAAATGCAATCTAACAACCTTTGGAAGGTGGTGTGATCCGTTGTCTAATAAGGTTTTATGTGACACTGAAAGGTAGCCGATTACAGTCGCCAAGTTAAAAACAAGATAGGTTATATAGGTTTGTTTCTAAGTTGAATCTGTATGCATATTGGAACAGGAACAATTTTTCAGTGTAACCTTAGGCAAATAGGAAGAGATATCACCCCTGTGGTATTTGTTTTGCTGTCTGTGTTTGTGTTCAGAAGATTTCACCTCACTTTCTGTCCCTGTGATAATTGGATTTTGAAAAATGTGGCTTGTTGTGGAAATAAGGCTTGGTGAGAAAGCTTCAGCAGGAACACCTTTTCCCCATGAAAACTCTTTCAATAGTTAATTTTCCCTTCTTAGGGGTAGATTTACATCCCTGTCCTTAAGTATGAGTCAGATATTTGTAACTTGAGGGCTGTCTGTGCTTTGTTTTTTGCCACATTTCTTTATATTCGTCAGGATCCAGTGGTATGCTATTGCATTCCATTTCAAGAATCTATTAGTTTTCTTCCCTCTTGCCGTCCCCTCTTCACTCTAAAAACCTACTTTGCAGAGGCAAGAAACCATGTGGCACATGATTTCTTTAGGACTTACTATAATTTTGATTCGTAATTTGGCCAACAGAGGATTGCAATGGAATAGTGAGGGAAATAAAGCAACAATTCCTGTCATATATGCTACATAATCAAATTAGATCTTGGCCTATTTGAGGGAAAACCCCTCGATATTTACTAATTCTTGAAGAGAGTAACAACTATCAGGAACACTAATTATTTTGTATCAAAAGCATTGCATAAATTAGTATAAAACAGATAAAAATAGAAGGAGCACAAGCGGCTAAATAACTTTCTACCAAAAACGGGCAACAGCAATGGCATTGTTTGTAGCCTCCAACAATTCTGCCACTGTACATGAGGCAGGGCATAGTGGACAATCACACAGATGTGGAGTTGTTTCTTCTGCTCTACAGTCACACAAGGTGGAGGATTCTTTTAGGTAGTGCCATTTTGCCAGGTTGTCTTTTGATCTGCTACTCCGCTTCTAAGTCTGTTCAGGGACTTCCAAGTTGCCCATTCTTGGTTTGCCCCTGGAGGAAGATCCTCGTGGGGGGTCATCCATTTGGGATTTCCTGGTTTAGCTGCCCAACACAATCCAATTGTCAGGGTTTTTTTTTTACTGGTCTTGATCTGTTTATCACTAACCACAAGATTCTCAAGCACAATTAGAAAGTAAGTTTTATAGTGCTGGCTGTTGAGGATTTGTCATGGGAAACTGATTAGGTAAATGACATGTATATACTTTTGATTTGTCCTGTGTGGTGTTCCTTTTTTCACTTTATTTTTCTCTTTTCTTTAAGGCTGTCACTAAAGAAATGTTTGAAGAAGCACTTCATGCACTGGCTGATGACGACTTCTTGACTGTCACAGGGAAGACTGTTAGACTGCTCTAAATTCATACCTTTATAATCTTAGAGCTGTAAAATTATACTTGCTATAATATTCCTCTACATTTGTAGGTCCGGCATAATTTGATTTGGTTATTTGTAGGTTTGTCATCACCCTTCCAAAGCCTCTGCCCTCCAACGTCCAAGGCAGATGCCTGCATGTTCACACAACAGCCTCGGGCTTCAGGAGCACCAGTAAACATCATCAAATACTTCTGAAGCCAACTGCTCTGTGGGCTTTGGGAAGCACTTGGCTAGAGTGATGACCACAGAGTCTACAATGGATGTGTGGAGACTGGGCCTTCCTACTCTGCTAGCCACAGCCACTGCCTTGGTCCCCAGTAGCCTCCTCCTCTTTCCTGCCTCACTCTCTGCCTCCACTCCTTGTTTCTCTCCCCTGCAACCAAGCCACACAGCACAACAGAGACAGGGAATCCAGGAGAGTGTCTGGGGTGATGGGTGGGGATCACGGTGGGTCCATGGGAAACAGGGCCTTTTTCCTCCCTCTTCTGCTATCCGCTGTTCCCCAGAGGACTGGCTCACCCTCCCTTCCTCCATGGCTTTCCTTTTCAATGATCATGCTTGCAAATAGCTTTCAGTAATTTGGTAATTTGTTACTATCTTGTCTCAATGAAGTATGGGATTGGATAATTCTGGAGTTGGGCGTGCATCAGATATCGGTTGCAGGGAAGAGAAGCAGGGAGGTCATACAAGGCCTCTGGGGGTCAAGACAGTAGTGACATGTCAGAGGAATGAGGAAAGAGGTCTGCTCATTGCATCGTCTTTACTCTCCCCATCCAGTACCTCGGCCTCGCTCCTAGAATCCTCTCCCAAGCATCTCTGTTTCAAGGGAGCACAGGCAGACTATGAGGGCCAAGGTGGGGGAAGAGGCTCCACTCCACACACACCCATTGCCTCGGCTGCCCTACCAAACTCCCTTTTCCTACTGTATCTGTCCTGCCATGTGCAGTACAGTTGTGGGAGAAAGCAAGCCACCTGGGAACCACTGTGTTAGCAGTGGCACATTGTCTCTCTTCCCTGGCAATTGGACGACTGAAAATATTCATGGATTTTCCACTTCAGCGGGAGTCTTCCACCTCTAATCCCCACAAATGTAGAGGGCCTAACTATAATTTGAAGATATCTGTTAAGTTGGATCAAAACCCACATTGAATTCTACTTTTATTCAGATTCTTTAGCACATAGAATTAAAACTTTATGCACACTTTCTTAGCAGGTTATATGGTGGCGGGGTAGGAAAAAAGTTTATTATTATTACATTTAAATATTATTTCATTAACAATTTAATATGAACATGAAGAATTGTTTGCTATATTGTAGTGCTATATTTTTATGCTTTAGCAAATTGTTCATTATTCAATAAAGTACAGCTGCTAAGCTGGGTGTTAAGCATTTGGAAAACAAATATGCAAATAGAACTGTATTTTGGTGATATAGGTCCTGCACAGGAAATCTCTGAAGTCTTGAGTCCAAAGCCAGTGCTTAACACCATTTTCTTGCATGGGAGATCTTTTATTCTTACTCATATTGTTTGGCAAATGAGAACCACCATATGCGTTCTAGATCCTTGCCCTTCCTGGCTTATTCAAACAGTCAGTGGGGATGAAGGTAGTAGTCAATGCCTGTTTACAGGTTAGGTCTGTGAGGAACGTGCTGAAAAAGCTAACTCTGAACCCCTCTGTAATAAATATTACTGCTCAGTGTCTAATCTTCCTTTTTCAGGTGCAATATAGGGTTGTGTGATGACCTCTTAGTTCTAAGGGTCTCTTGATGAAATTGTCTACGTCAGTGGTTCTTAACCTGTGGGCCGCAGACCACCAGTGAACTGCAAAGATGAAAATATGGTCCGGGAGCCTCCTTCCCCTTTTTTTAAATTTTTATTTCCACTCCTTTTGTGCCTCATGACACTCCTTTCCTGTCACTGACCATGTCATAGGTTCTGTATCCAAAACCAGAGCTGATGTTATCTATCTGATGCAATTTTCTGAATTAGCACCTTAAACCGAATCTAAAGTTGACCAAAAACTGTTTTGTAACCCTTTTGGTACTAATCTTGGAGAAGTAGTCCCTGGTCAAAAAAAGGTTGGGATTCACTGGTCTAGATCCATTTCAGACTGGTTTCAGGCCTGGCTATGCCATGCCACATTAATCATATCTTTTTATTTTTGATAAGTTTGGTAGATAAAGGGAATACCGTGGATATAGCATATCTTGATTTTATTAAGGCCTTTGACAAGGTGCCCATGATATTCTTGGGGAAAAAAATCCCTAGTAAAATGTAGATAATTCTACCCCAACGTATTCAAAATGTGCTGGAGGAGATTGTTATGAATGCAATGTGTGGCCAAAAACAAAAGGTTCGAGAGTAAATCTAGCCTGAATTCTCACTAGAAGCAAAAAGAAGTAAACTGGGATCATTGCACTTTTGACATATCATGAGAAGACATGATTTACTATAAAAGTCAGAGCTGGTGAAGGTTGTAGGCAATACGTGGATGGGTAATTGGTTGACCAACCAAATCCAAAGGGTGTTTACCATTGGCTCTTCGTCATAGAGAAAAGCGACTAGTGGGGTATCATAGGGTTCTGTACTGGGCCAGGTGTTACTTTGCATCTTTATCTGTGACTTGGATGGTGGAATAGAGGATATGCTTATCAAATTTGCAGGTGACACTAGGAGTCTTAATAAACCACAAGCTGAGTATGATCTACATTGTGATGTGGCAGCTAAAAGAGCCAATAGGGTTATAGGCTGCATCAATAACATAGTGTCTCTAAATCAAGTGAGATAATAGCACCACTCTTTAATCAGACTTCAAAATGCTGTGTCCAGTTCTGGATATGGGGCTGTGGATTCAAACTGCAGGAAAGGATATTCCACCTAAACATTAGGAAGAACTTCCTCATGGTAAGAGCTGTTTGACAGAGGAATTTGCTGCCTGTGAATGTGGTGAATTCTCCTCTGCAGGTTTTAAAGCTGAGAGTGGATGATAGTACTATATAACAAAATTTGAGAAATTTTCTGTTTCTGTTTTGAAAGTGTTATTCCTGTTTAATTACACAGTACTTACTTTGAAAGTAGTGGTTATATTTCAGAAACTTTGTTGCAGCCACAAACTATGTTAAATTGGTTGAGATTCTATGGGATATTAATTGAAAACCTATAACAAAATGTGCTGCAGGATGTCTCGGACAAACAAAATTTTTGCAGTTTAGTAAACCTTTTCCATATTTTTTAAAATGATAGAACCAATTAGGAAATGACATTTATAACCCAGGAGCAAAAATCACATCACACAGTACTTTAAGTAGGTGTTCCTGCATGGCAGAGGATTGGATAGCCCTTGGGATCTCTTCCAATTCTTTTTCCATTCTAAAATAGCAAAAAGATTAACCAGTAAATGCAAATTTTAGCTCTCTTGTTTCTGAAATGTAAAGTTACATCTGAGGAGTCTAGAAAGCTTACATGATAGTTAAAATGGAGACAGTACATGATGCTCAAAAGAAGGCAATTTTATTGCAGAAGAGTGTGATTACTTACTATATCTCAACTGGATCCTTTCACACTATACAATGATAGTATTAGAATTTCACTTTAACTGCTATAGGTCCATCCTATTGAATCCTGAGGTTGTGGATTTTATTCAACACTAAGAAAAGAATTCTCATATCCTTCCCTAAGCTACAAATTCTAGGATTCTATAAGATGTTGGCACTGAAATGAAATGATGGTATTATAATTGGTAGTGTGAAGGGATCCTTGTATCATATCAAATAATGATGATATATTGGGTCTTCTACTAGTATTCCCAGTGTGATTAAATCACACATATATTTTTTTCAGCATACATAGGTGAGAGAAAGGAAGAAAGTGGCATTTAAAAAGTAACCAATTTCATTATAGTCGTGTTAAAGATTTTCATGGCTGGAATCACTGGGTTGCTGTGAGTTTTATGGGCTGTATGACCATGTTCCAGAAGCATTTTCTCCTGACATTTCACCCACATCTATGGCAGGCATCCTCAAAGTTTGTGAGATCGGTTGGAAACTAGGCAAGCGAGGTTTAAATACCTGTGCAATGTCCAGGGTGGGAGAAAGAACATGTATCTGCTTGCGGGAAGTGTTAATGTTGTAATTGGCCACTTGATTAGCATTGAATGGCCTTGTAGCCTCAAAGCCTGGCTGCTTCCTGTCTGAGGAAATCATTTATTGGGAGGTATTAGGGATTTGTGCCCAAACATGAATCAAGGAACATGAAAGACACTATAGACTACTTCAACCCAGAGAAATCAGCCATAGTAGAGCACTTGATGAACCAACCTAGACACAACATATTATTTGAGAACACAGAAATGCTGGACCACTCTAACAACTACCATGCCAGACTACACAGAGAAGCCATTGAAATCCACAAGCATGTGGACAATTTCAACAGAAAGGAACAAACCATGACAATGAACAAAATCTGGCTTCCAGTATTAGAAAATTCAAAAATCAGGACAACAAATAAAGAACAACACTCAGAAAGCCGATGAATTCCAGACAGGAAACAATCAGAGCCAGCTAACACCTCCCAACAAAGGATTCCTTCAGGGAGCTTTGAAGGTGCAAGGCAATTAAATGCTAATCAAGGTGGCCAACTGCAACATTGACACTTGCCTCAAACAGGCAAGAGTTCTTTCTCCCACCTTGGACATTATTCCACTAATATATAAACTTCACTTCCCTAGTTTCCAAGAGACCACAACCTCTGAGGATTCATGCCATAGATGTGGGTGAAATGTCAGGAGAGGATGCTTCTGGAACATGGCCATACAGTCTGGAATATTTATTTATTTACAATAGTTCTATCACATCTTTCTCAATCCCGAAGCCATTCGATGCCACAACAATCCAAAATATACAATTAAAACATTTAAAAACATTTTAAAATCAATACAAAAACTTTAAAACTGTTTATAATGTTATCAATTTAGAAATAAAAAAACTCAAAAAATTTATTTTATTACAGTATCACAAGATATAAATGTATGGCAAAATTGTAGAAGTACTTTCTGGAGGGTAAGTATTTTTATGAGATATATATTTAAGCTTTCATGTGTAGATCACCACAAACTCATTGTATGTTTTGGCTTCTGTTTCTCTACCCATATTACATAGTATAGTATATAACCTTTCTCTAAAACAACATGCATTTGGAAAGCGTAACAGCTTAGCACTTTCTATTAAAACACAATAAAGCCAACTGGAGAATGCGGGCATCGATCCCGCTACCTCTCGCATGCTAAGCGAGCGCTCTACCATTTGAGCTAATTCCCCTCAGTTGCAGCTTGGTGAGAAAGTTGTGAAGAAAGAAGGTGTTATCACAAAAGAGTGCAACTATGCCTGGAATCTTGATGACTCATCCTAGTGCTTCAACAAGGAGAGAGGACTGGCTTCCTAGAAGCAGGAATGAAAGAATAACCAGTCCTAAAATCTGTTGCTTCTGGCAGGTATATACCCTCTGTACTCGTCTTACGTAACCTAGAAAGTTCATTTATATACTCACTTTAAGGCAAAAAGGGTTTACAATTTTTCATTTGACAACTCTCAGCCCTCAGACTTACAATCTAAATAATATGACACAAAAGGAAGGGGAATAGGGGAAGGGATGAAGTCTACCAGATATGCCTAAATATTTGTCCCCCTCCTTTAATAAAAATAGTGTTTGTTTCTCTGATATGTCTTACCTGTCAAACTGAAGATGTGCCATTATAAGACAGGCATTCCTATAAAGCTATTTCCAGCTAACTAAACAAGGAATCTGCAGTTGGGTTTTCCATGCAACTGCAAGCAGGAACATGGACAAGAACTATCATGTTAAGATATATTAAAAACAGTCACTTCTGGAGAATGCGGGCATCGATCCCGCTACCTCTCACATGCTAAGCGAGCGCTCTACCATTTGAGCTAATTCCCCTGCCATACACATTGTATAGGGAGCTTGTGATCACAAAACCCTTTGCAAATTGAGTCACAAAACTGAAATAATGCACTATACTGAACATTATGTATACCAAAATGTATACAAATAATATGAGCCAAGGAATGTAGGAATACAGCCTACAAATGATTTACAGATCCACTGAGAAAATCCAGGAAATGCTTCAATCAGCAAAGGACAAGAGGGATCCTCTCATCTCTACAAGAGTCTACCATTTACTATGCAGCTGTGGATCAGTCTATGTAGGGACTTCCAAATACAGCACAAATCAAGAAACATGAAAGAAACTGCAGACTAATTCAACTAAAGAAGTCAGCCATACCAGAGCACTTGGATGAACCAACCTGGGCACAGCATATTATTTGCGAACACAGAAATGCTGAACCACTCTAATGACCACCATGTCTTACTACACAGAGAAT